CGGGTGAAACCGGTAGAGGGCTACCACCGGTGCTTTGCTTTTCAGCTATGGTGGCATGTGACATCGGTTACATTGTTTTTCCGAACTTGGATCCGTTTTGAGTGCTGTCTCTGTCACAGTGGCTTTGAAGACTTTGGACAGAAGTTTCTTTGAAGTTAAAGCTTGTTTTTAAATCCTGTCTTGTTTTGCTCTGCTATCGTCTTCTCCTGACTCTTCTGTGGTCGGAGTCCACACTTCCCTCTGAGGGAGTTCGAGTCAGCGTGATATTATTGTCCTGCTGCACGGGCAGTTCCGCCGTTGTCCGCCTACTCTCTCTCTCTCTCTCTCTCTCTCTCTCTCTCTCTCTCTCTCTCTCTCTCTCTCTCTCTCTCTCTCTCTCTCGTGTGTGTGTGTACGCACATCCTGGAAAACAAGATGCTGTTGAAGCCATGCCCACTCTCCTCTCAGGCGACATTGTACTGATGCTTTGCCTCCTCTGCTTTCTGACATTCCTAAATTCGTGAAATAAATTTACTGCCATCGTGTGGCATGCAATGCCGGGCTTGACATGGAAGGAAGCTGAGGAATTGGAGAAGGCGAAGGCAGTGAAGAAAGAGCAAAATGCAGCTCTGGAAGAAAAACTGCTGGTATGTGCCACTTCCGTCCTGCCTGCATGATTGTCACTGACAGCTAAGCCCCATCAGGCTACATTTATCCTTAAAAAAGGTAGAAATCTAGTCTAAGCTGCGACCCGGTTCCTACCTTTCTATGGCAGTTTATCATACATCTGATCCTGTTCTTGCTACGGTCCAATGCAAGTTTCCATTCTTTGGTTCATTGCATCTGAATACTGCTGCATCAGACACATTGCAAGGCAACTGGTCGACATCTGGTATAGCCGGTCATGCAAGCCATCCCACCACAGCTCAAAGGTTTCCATCCAGAGATGTTCGACCGTCCTCAACAGAACTCCCTGTCATCATAGCTGTATTTGGTTCAATTTTCGGCCCAGATGCAGCGGTAATGACCAGGTGTTCTATTCTGTGAAAGACCGTAGGTTTCATCGAAAAGAGAGGACAGGGCACTTTTGAGGTTGAGGCAGGACTGGAGCTTGTGGGAGAGAGGGGAGAGTGATGGAGGGAGGTGGATGGAGATAAATGGAAGGGAAAAGGGACAGAGAGAGAGAG